TACGCATTAGGCATTTTTCCAATATCACACCCAGGCAAGCACATACATAAATATATACGTACATGATTACACCCCGCGCATTGCCGGTTCATACAGCAAGTGCTTCCACTGTAACAGTTGAAAATGTTATAAAAGTGTGTGTTTAATTGGAGATTTACATAAACTGGGTTGTGTCACGGAGATTGTTGCATGTCGAAGCAGCGATGTGTCTGAGCGAGAGTGAGCCTGTTTGGGGTTATGCTCTAGGGAGAGTTCCATCGTTACGATTTTGGGACTTGACGAACATAGTTATTGTTATCGTAAAGATAGTTCAATCTTGATTTGAAGCTTTCGTGACTGCAGGAATCCATACTCTTTGGTTATTTCGCAAAAGTCACGTAGGTAGAATAAAAATTAATAATAGATTACGACGTTTCGATCGCCACACAAGCAACCGTCTTCAGGTGAGAGAGAGCTCTTCAGGTGAGAGAGAGCTCTCTCACCTGAAGACGGTTGCTTGTGTGGCGATCGAAACGTCGTAATCTATTATAAATTTTTCTTCTACCTACGTGACTTTTGCGAAATAACCAAAGAGTATGTAAAGATAGTTGTTGAGTTAATGTCCTTTACCACAGCATTTACACAATTGACTGTCCTTTACTTTATGGTATAAGAGGCCAAAGAGATTCATGATCGATTTTACAAGGCTGCAAGTAGTTGCTGGGAATTCTTTGGTAAAACCAATGCGCCACTCCCGGACAAACACGTGCTCTAATTAATGAGGCAATTCATGGCACATAGGGCTTCAATAATTCATTCCATTGTCAAAATGTTAGCACTTAATGTGGGATTTATCCGATGTACCTAATTTACTCCCAAGTAGTCAAACACCCACGGAACAAATTATTTAGCTTCCAAGGACTGTATTGAATGGCGTCTTATAAAACGTGATTGATGCAGGGGTAGAGTAATATGGATTAGTAACTCACAGCCTGAAGTTTGTAATCATAGATTTTGTTCAAGACATGAAAATACATATTTCAAGCCATGACATAAATGTTATATTTTAAATTAAATACGCTTTCAATGCAATACATCAAAAGGCAAGAATTTCACCATCGTTTTGTAAATCTACTTAGAAATAGGGTAACCTGTTTATACACGTGTGTAGCATTAGGGTATTTTTATATACAGAATAAAACACTGTAATTGAACATTTCCCTCAAGTTTACACTGCTCTGCATATAAAAAAAAATCCACCTAAGGAATGTTTTATGCAACTGGCTCTTTGTGTTTAACTCGCATTCACTTTTTTATCCTTAATAGTTGTATATACTGTATTAATAATTTGTCATAATGGTGAGACGTCGAAGAAAAAAAAAACATTATTATTACTCTTTGGTTCTTTCGGTAAAGTCACGTAGGTATAAAATAAAAAATAAATCACGACGTTTCGGGCACAACACAAGCGCCCGTCATCAGGTGGGAAAGCATTGTCTGCTGCTGAGGCAGACTGTTTAAAAAGGTTTTAAATGGGTGTAGCCCAAGGGTCATAAAGAAGTGGCCCTGGCAAGTGATTGTTTAATTCAACATCAAATTGCCTCACGTGGACCGTGTTTGGAATTGATTCTAGACAAAACATGACGCAAGCGGCATTGTCTCCGCTGACTGAAGCCATGCTTTGATAAAGCATACATATATATTCTTGGTTCTTTCGGTAAAGTCACGTAGAAGGGAAACAATAAAATAATAAAAATATAAAACAATACAATTCTCGCGACGTTTCGACTGCAACACAAGCAATCATCTACGTGACTTTACCGAAAGAACCAAGAATATGAATCCCTGCAGTCACGAAAGCTTTAAATCAAAGCATACAAATGTTTAGTCTGAGAGTATGTATGTTGAACTTCTTTCGCACCGTACGTAGCCAACCGTGCTAATCGAAGGTGCAGGGCAAGGGCAACTAAAACACAACAAGCAGTCCTGAAGAAAAGAGTTTTCAATCTAGATGACGATGATTTAAAAGTACCATAGCTCCCGGTGGCTTCTCAATATCGGAAGGAAGAGCGTTCCAGACGGCCGCAGAAGCGCACAGGGTCGGTGTAAAGAGTTGCTGGGGTGGGCCCTGCACCACCAAATGTCATTTTAGCCCAGGGGCTCACTGCTTAATGGTGATTGTCACTGTTATGGTGGCTCCCCCAGGCAATTGTTCTACAAGCCTCCCCGCCTCCCTTCCCGTACAGAGCTGGAGCCGGGCCAGTTCGATGTGCGCCGTGTTTATGGCTGTGGATACCTCATGCTATTTTTAGTTTCCGTTCTAATTCTTTAAAACCTCAAACCTTCCTGAGTAATCTTTGCAAGGGCAACCTTCTGGCCAAAGCTTGCACGTCACAGTGACCGCCCGAGTGGATGATGCGTGAAGCAGCATCCATGCCAGACGTCTCAAATCGCCGAATCCCACGGCGTAGATTAATATTGACAGTTGGAAATTAATACAGGACGTGTAACAATTCATATTTCTTTCCCTCAGAATTGTCAGACGTGAAGCTAAAATGTGAAATATTGTACGATTTTTCTTCATATTTCTAACCTTGTAGAAACAGGCTGTTGTAGATGGTGTGGACAACATGGGGAGTCATGAAAACACAATTTTGTATCCGTGTTTAATGTTCTTGTTCGTGCCATAGTAAAGATTTCTTCAATAATTAAAGTACTTTTCAAACTGACGAATATCGCACAAGCATTATGAGTTCCCTTAAAGTTATGTTGATATTTTTTTTTTATACCCTGTAATTCCAAAACAATGGAGCAAAAGAGAACAATGGAAAAAAACAGGATACACTTCTGCGGGTATCGGGTAGTTCTGTTACGCTTAAATTAAACTTAGAAATAAATAAATTGCATTTTCCATTCAACATTAACTGTTAAACAATATACCGTACTTCAAGACAGTCATGGGTAGTGCGGTGTTGTACAAGCTATCTAGAGTTCACATAGGTGCTCTTATAATGATAAATAAGTGTTAATGAAGGTAACATTCTACGTAAGTAGAATAATTTATCTAAATGGTTCGAGAGGTGCACGGTAGGGCAGTGGTAACACTTTGGACGACACAGCAAGAAGGTCCTGGGTTCCATTCCTGACTCAAGCAGCTTTATCTGTAAAGTTTGCATATTCTCCCAACTGATCTGCATGAGTTTTCTCCAGACTCCTTCCATAGCAAAAATAAACCCCCGATATAAATGATATTGCCCAAAAATTCCAATGGTGAAAAAGTACCTGAAAATTATGCAATTGAGATTACAAATAATATTGCCTCAAGTGAAAACGTTGCTGTCTCAATAACTCTCGTGGCTAAACAAATGTAGTCGTAAAAAATATACATCATATCAGGAAATTAAGTTGATGTCTCATGTTATTGAGTATTTTCTTACTTATTCTGAGATGGGAACATGGCTGCTGGCCCAAAGCATTCAGAAAATGTGTCCACGGCATCCGCCAGGCTCCCAGATTACCAAGTCGTTACCTCACTGGATCAAACTTCCTATAACCCCAGGCTCCCAGATTACCAAGCCGTTACCTCGCTGGATCAAACTTCCTATAACCCCAGGCTCCCAGATACCAAGTCGTTACCTCGCTGGATCAAACTGCCTATAACCCCAGGCTCCCAGATTACCAAGTCGTTACCTCGCTGGATCAAACTTCCTATAACCCCAGGCTCCCAGATACCAAGTCGTTACCTCGCTGGATCAAACTGCCTATAACCCCAGGCTCCCAGATTATCAAGTCCTTTCCTCACTTGATCAAACTGGCCATCATTTATTTTTGCACATAAACACATGAGCTATGTTTCATCACCGTGAAAACACATGCAATATTACATTTTGCTTCTTCCGTTGACCATTCATGCAGAGAAACGGCCTTGACAATGTTCTCCCAATGTTTTTGTTTTACCAAAGGTCAATCACTTCAAATAATTGACGGTCCTAAGATAAAGCCCATCATTACAAAGCCATTGCACCTTCACATGAGCATCTGAACTTTCCACTGTTCAATCTCAAAATCTATTTTCGTGTATATATTACGCAATTTGTTGATCCACTTTTGGACGAAGGCCTCCCTCACATTTTCTTTTCATGGATGTTGTTTTGATTATACTTCACCGTGCCGGTCAGCGTGAATTGGTGAAAAGGAGGGTCCAGAAGCAGTTCTGATGCATCACCTGCTGCTCGTGTTAGCTGTGGCCGGTAATTGAACTCGGATTGCTGGGTTCGTAACACAGCGAGCTGACCACTGCTTCACCGCAGAATTTTCCACTGTGCCCCTCGTCACTATACAAACCCACAGACATCTTCATATTGTGGCCTCTAAAATAATTTCAGTAAATGTCATAGTTTTGGCACCCTCTCCAACACAGAATTGGCAAAACACACACGTGTTCAAACATTTACGATCTACACAAGGGGATTTCTGTGGACTGTGAATTAGAACATATTTCAACTGAATGTCTTCTTTGAGGATATTGCAATCACACTGATACATCTGTAGGTGTTATGAACACATGACCTGATATATGTGCATTTGCCGTGGTCCCATTGCATATTTTTTCATCACAGTATTTTGAGTTAAAAGGTTATTCAATGGTTTATCCGTGAACATTGAGGATCTTACAGATTTGTCATACATACTAAAGTAGTTTACGAAATGAATATATTAAATAATTTCTCATTGCACCCCAAATGGTGAGCTTTTATGGGAAAGGTAAAATATCTGAACTTGAGTGTTCTGATAGGACGCTATAACATTTTCTATCGGTCCATTAATCTCTCCTCCATTAAAATTACATGACTTAACATTTTACAAATGTTAAAATGGTTTGAGATAAATATTTAATTTCAAAACTAGAGTGAAACTACTTTCCAGTGATCAAACGTGCACATGGGCTTTGCGAGTTATTTTCCAGGTTCATCCTGGAGATAAGGGGAGACACCAGGCTCATTAAACAACGGACACAGCTGTATAGAAGGTATTGATGTCTTTATGAAAGTACATTACGTATATTTGTACATGGGTTCAGTAATGGTGCAGGATTAAAATTATGTAATATGCAGATACATACATGGATGATACATATACAGTAACGTGAGCGCGCAGCGGTAAAGCAGCTAGCCCTTCCCGGGCCTTCAAGTCTACGCAACCTGTTGAATGTTGAGTGAACGATCGAATGGCTCATCGAAGTTAATTAACACGGGCACTGTTTTCTTATCATAACAATAAAAAAAATGCTTAGTTGAATTAAATCAGGCACTTCAGATTACACGTGATTGCATACAACCCTTGGCTTACATTTTTGTTTAACAAAAGCAGAAGGGGTATTAGTTAAAATAATAATCAGAAATTACATAATATGAGGCTATTTCATTGGTAAAAAAAAAGTGATTCAGGACACAGTTGTTTAATTTGATATTTGGAATTGCACAATGGGCGGCAGCTTACTGCCTCTGTGGGAACAAAGATTCGTGGCCATCCGGTGTGGCACGATGCCTCCATGGATGCCAGGGAGAAACGCTGGATACAGAGGACAGGGTGTTGTCTACCACTGACTCTCATCCAAATGGACTTGTTCCTCGTGCTTCCAAGTAGAGTTCAACCAAAGCCAATCACCGTGGAAGAATCTCCCCTTTCTATCCCAAACCGGGTACACGCATTAAGCATTGCATTATTATAACATCATTTTTGCATGGCTTGTGAATATAGGCGTTGGGCCCATAGGGAGTTTGGAGAGATCTCGCGGTGGTGTCCTAACATGCAGTATGCTTGCCCAATGTCCACTTTCAAAAGGTATGAGCTACAATCGCTAAATCCTACCACATGATAATAAAACAAGAAGAAGCTATATTGAGACTCTCACTGTGTTCCGGAGCCGTGCTCTTAGTGACACACCATGCGGAGAGACACACCGCAACCAAGACCCAACTTGTACTGGCTTTATACCTTAATACTACCTGGTTGTCTCAAACTCTGGCTTTAAATCTTGAAAGTCTGGCATTCGATGTGAGTAAACCGCGCTATCTTTAAAATCTATGGCTCTCTGCATCAGCACTAATAAACCATCACATCTTATCCCCCTTCTCTTTGTTCGAAAACCTTCACAATCCAATGTAAAATCTTTCCCAGTTCACTACAAAAGACACACATGGGTGACCTGACAACTGGAGAAACCCAGTGAACCCCACCGTAGTCCAAAATCACAGTGCACACACGCACACACACAGACGTGCTATTCCAACATCACATACGCACACCTTATCCCAACATCAATCAAACAGCCTCTCAGCTCATCACTACACGCACATTATCCTGTGTCACACACATACCTTAGCTCCCACACGACGCACATGCCTGCCACAGTCCGATATTACACAAAACGTACTCGGTGCACCTATCGCCAATTACATATGCTTTCCATGTTTCCGGCAAACCCGCCATATCTACAGCATTAATTCGTCCTTCCACCAGACACGATGTGTGGCACGTAAGGCATTTTTGGCATGATTTCCCGTGGAGAGAGAGAGAGAGAGCACTGGGTGTTCCTGGTAGGTTCGTGTTTTCACGAGAACGTTAAAAAAAATATTGAGACTGTACCAGAACAGAGCACTGACAGCGTTGAGTGCGGTTCTACGGCTATATGGCAGTTTTGGAAATCTCGGCTTCTTAGCGCGCATTAGTAATAACAATTACAATAAAACATCGATAATACGGTCAAATGTGTGGCGTAACCACGAGGTATGCGGGCGCAAAATGGAGTTTCTCAGGTTACTCGACTTTGTGCGTGACCCACTTTTGAATGTGCTTGGTGTGTGAACACCCTCTGCCGGTGTGCGCTGTGTACATGTATCCGCAGGTCAGCACATATACCTGAGTGCACATGGCCGAACGTGTTTGCATGAGCACAAGGGCGCGCGTGCGTGCGTGCGTGCGCGCTGCATAGCGTAACGCACCTCTGCCCGGAACGAGCACCTAGGTGCGTGTATGCGTACTAAGTGTGCGTGCCCATATGCGAGGCCCTAGTTTACAGCAGATGTGTAATATCCTGCATACGCTATGCCTTCATGTGTTGGATACAAGTAAGCAGACTAGTAAACTCGAATACACTTAATAAGCAAGGTTATTATGCAGGAGTAGTTAGCACGTGCACATTCCATGCTGGAGGGCGCGGGTGGGAATAGGTAGGAGGTGGGGGTGGAGGGAGGGAGGGAGGGATGGAGGACGTGGGAGGAGGAGGCGCCCTTAGCGCTTTTGGGAAGTGAGCAACACTTTCGAGACGAAGTTGACAATCGCGGCGGCCGGCTGCTCGGGGTCGAGCTCGGCGAAGAGGTGGCAAAGATTGTCGGTGGACGAGCCGGGCTTGCGGGCCACAAAGCCAAACACCCTGGGGGTTGACGCACACACAACACACGCACACACAACACACACAACACACGCACACACACACAACACACACAACACACGCACACACAACACACACAACACACGCACACACAACACACACAACACACGCACACACAACACACACAACACACGCACACACAACACACACAACACACGCACACACAACACACACAACACACGCACACACAACACACACAACACACGCACACACGGGGATATGAAGACAAAGATCCACCATTGAGCCACTTAGATAGTCATGGGCAAGTGATGTTTGCAAACACCTACGAAGGCACATGAGCGGTTCACGTTGCACACGCTCAGGAATTGAACCACGTACGATGGGACTGTAGGTGACATGTGCCGATTGCTGATCCACAACTCCCCACATATGCGAACATAAATACATCCACACATACGCGGGCATGTTTAAACATGCGTGCACTTTGGTGCAGCGCATACCGATATAAATGTGGTAAAACGACGTATCCGTACAGTACAGGTAAATCGGAGGTCACAAGTGTGCATTGCGCTTGCAATATCACTGCTCCCCGTTTAATTACAAACCGCTCCATTTCCACTCACCGAGATCCCGGAGTGCCCTCCGCCTGCACCCACCTATCAACAAAACCGGACAGACAAATAGGATTATTGGACGAGCGGTGTTGCGCCCTTAAATGTGCCACTGGTGAGGCCTGTGCATGCATTATTTTTGTTTTGTGCCTCGGGAGAGTGGGGGGGGGGTTGCTGCACATCAGTATTGTTAATCACGAAGAGTGGTGGAGAGAACTGGACGAATATCAACGCCTGACTTCCCTTGGAGTGCAATCGCCTCTAAAGTCTGCACGGGAGCCTCTTGACGTTCTGCTACACAGCTGCCTCAGTTTTCAAATAACGACAGGCTTAAGCGGTGACTTCGAGTTACTCAGGAATACATCGAAAATAGTTGTTAGGTTTATTTCGTTTAACCAGGTGAGAGTCCAAGAGACCAGGATAGTCTCAGTTGCAAGTGACCCGAGGCATTAGCCTGCCAATAGTAGGGGGTGATGATTGATGTGCAAAGAGTAGAACGTCAGTGCTAATTTTTACAATCACTTAGTTTTCTTTTGTAGAACAAATGACTTGCATAAGGCAATTTTTTATCTCTTTAACAGCTGCAACTGGCATCAAAAGCCATGGTTAATGCATTGTCTTTTTCAGTAGCTTCATCACTAAGTGTAATTGGATGGAATTTGTCAAATGTAGCTTATTAGGGTTTAATTGGTTATAAATACATCATGGGACCTCCTTTGCCAGTACCAAAATATGAGAATCGAGGTTTTCCCCTTTTATCTGGCAACAAAACAGCTGTGTTAAGATGTTAAAACACCAAGCTGAAACCTTTTACAAGGGATCATGTCTGCATTAACCACAATACTTGTGGTCAGAATGCAAAAAAAACATACTCTGATAATATATGCATTATCATTGAAAGAAAGCTGTCTCTGGTGTGGACCAATCAGTTTCAGCTTTCTTTCTAAAGAAAGCTGTTGGTCCACACCAGAGACAACTTTCTTTCTAAAGAAAGCTGTCTCTGGTGTGGACCAATCAGTTTCAATGACAATACATATATATTATCAGAGTACGTGTTTTGTTTGCATTCTGACCACAAGTATTGTGGTTAATGCAGACATGATTCCTTGTAAAAGGTTTCAGTTTGGTGTTTTAACATCTTAACACAGCTGTTTTGTTGCCAGAAAAAAAGTGGAAAACCTCTTCTCATGGTTATGAATGCATTTATATCTCCGTATAAATAAAGTTTGTGACGGATATATAAATATTTATCTGCGCCAAATATACAGCATTTGTTCTAAAGACCAACGGAAACTCTCTGAACAGTCTGCTTTCACAGGCTACAATGGTGATAAGCAATGGCAAAAAGAGTATTCTGCAAAACAAATCCAGTAAAAGAGTTTATAAACTAATTTCATTGCATGGATCTACCTTTGTTTAACTTTACAAGAAGCACAGTATTCCCTTTAAAGTGGGGGTTACACGCCCTTGTGTTCACGGGTTAAGTGGCTCACTTTGTAATCACATTTGGTGACAGATGCCTACGCAGAGCCTCATAACATTGCATTCTTATAGGCAGACAATTGTGTGCTCCGCTGTAGACCACATATCTTTTTAAAAATTACCCGCAACTAAATGACGAAAAAACACAACAGGGCTCCTTTTGAATCTCGAGTTTCCCAGGCCTCTTACAAAAAAACATTTGATCCAATCGGGGCCTTGCACTAATAAAGGAAATGACTGTCTAGTTTTTCCTTACCCGGATCTCTCTTGAAAAATATCAGATTTCATCTCGACACGCTTTCGGCAGGCTTTAAATAGACATCGATGTGTTATTCTTTTTATCTCTTTCATTTTTTCCATCGACCTGTGAGTTCCGTTCCATAACATGGCTTTCATTTCCCACGAGCTGCTCGAAGTTTCAGGAGAAGCCGTGGAGCGAGCTGTAAGTCGACTTATAAAAGAGTGCCTGGACCAATGGGGCCTGTCTTCAGGATCCGTCCGGGAAGGGATGCATTTCAAATTATAAATAATTATGATATATGTATTTTAAAGAACGATTTCTGATAAATTTGGTGTATTTCAGATCATTTACGTATCGTGATATATTGACCTTTACCAATTCATCTGAAACAAAAAGTTTTCGATTGTTTTGGGCTTAGTAAAAAAATTAATCAATCAGGAGAACATCCCGACCGACCTGCCCCTGCATAAGGCACGACTGCTGTTGTTCGTCTGCTGAAGTGCGCTACGCTTTTGTGTGTGCGATGTCCCGAGTGGTCCTCGTCGATAGCAACCGCGTGTGACTCACGTCCTCGTTTCTGGATCCACGTTGCAGAACGTGACTGTCGAGACTGGATAGTGACGCCTGAAGAATAGCCTGTGTGTTGGAGGCAGAATGCGGCATGAGATGGCGTTTTCACGTTGTATGTATATACGTACGTTGAACTTCTTTCACACCGTTATGTAGCCAACTGTGGCAATCGGAAGTGCAGGGGGGGAAGGACAACAAACTAAACACAAAAGCAGTTCTAAATAAATGAGTGCTCAATATAGGTGATTTAAAAGTGCATAGCTCCCAGTGGATTCCTAATATCGGAAGGAAGAGCATTCCAGACGGCCACAGAAGCGCATATGAAACTGTGCGATGCAGTGACCGTCTATGTTCGATGGCGAGCCAAAAGTCACGTTATCCGTATAGGCAGCTGTGGCCCAACACACATAAATAGGTGACCCAACGCACACCCTACACAGGAAACAGATTCACATGTTGGTATATGTTTTACTTATCTTTTTTGTTTTTGTAAAATTGAGTCGGTGTCTCGACTGGCAACGATGACGCAAATTTTCAAGGTGATTGGTTTGAACATTTTCATCAAGTTATGAATCTGGCTAAAAAGTTGCTTTTACTTACATCACCCTTATATCCTCAAGCCATATACCCATGACTATCTCGTGATGCTGAACCTGATCTACAACTCGGTCTCTTTTGTAGTATTTGTTATGACCTCCTCACCGAATCATTTCCTGACATACCACCCAGTTAACATCCCTCCTCTTGTGTACATTATTCGTGAGATGTATTCCTCTATACATCCTCTATAAATCGACAGTGATATATCATGGTACTTTTTCAATCTCAAATTGCAGTTGTGTGCCAGTGTAACACATACACCAGCATGGCATCCGACACAGCAAGTGCGTTTTCCATGTGCAATAGCATAACCCTGCCGTAATTCCATTTATGCAGGAAAGCCTCCCTGAGTCTCAGAGTCCTCATTCACGAGATTTCCCACGTGGGACGTTGGCGACACACCAAGACACACCGAATGTCTCTCTGTGCCTCTCGGCATGTGACTAAGAGACAGAGTGTGACCAAGAGACACAGAGTGTGTGTGACCAAGAGACATAGAGTGTGTGTGATCAAGAGACACAGAGTGTGTGTGATCAAGAGACACAGTGTGTGTGACCAAGAGACACAGTGTGTGTGACCAAGAGACACAGAGTGTGTGTGATCAAGAAACACAGAGTGTGTGACCAAGAGACACAGAGTGTGTGATCAAGAGACACAGTGTGTGTGTGTGATCAAGAGACACAGTGTGTGTGACCAAGAGACACAGTGTGTGTGATCAAGAGACACAGTGTGTGTGATCAAGAGACACAGTGTGTGTGTGATCAAGAGACACAGTGTGTGTGTGATCAAGAGACACAGAGTGTGTGATCAAGAGACACAGTGTGTGTGTGACCAAGAGACACAGTGTGTGTGATCAAGAGACACAGTGTGTGTGTGACCAAGAGACACAGTGTGTGTGATCAAGAGACACAGAGTGTGTGATCAAGAGACACAGAGTGTGTGTGATCAAGAGACACAGAGTGTGTGTGATCAAGAGACACAGAGTGTGTGATCAAGAGACACAGAGTGTGTGTGACCAAGAGACACAGAGTGTGTGACCAAAAGACACAGAGTGTGTGTGATCAAGAGACACAGAGTGTGTGATCAAGAGACACAGAGTGTGACCAAGAGACACAGAGTGTGTGATCAAGAGACACAGAGTGTGTGTGACCAAGAGACACATAGTGTGACCAAGAGACACAGAGTGTGACCAAGAGACACAGAGTGTGTGATCAAGAGACACATAGTGTGACCATGAGACACAGAGTGTGTGTGATCAAGAGACACAGAGTGTGTGTGATCAAGAGACACAGAGTGTGTGTGATCAAGAGACACAGAGTGTGTGATCAAGAGACACAGAGTGTGTGTGACCAAGAGACACAGAGTGTGTGACCAAAAGACACAGAGTGTGTGTGATCAAGAGACACAGAGTGTGTGATCAAGAGACACAGAGTGTGTGTGATCAAGAGACACAGTGTGTGTGTGATCAAGAGACACAGAGTGTGTGTGACCAAGAGACACAGAGTGTGTGATCAAGAGACACAGAGTGTGACCAAGAGACACAGAGTGTGTGATCAAGAGACACAGAGTGTGTGTGACCAAGAGACACAGAGTGTGTGATCAAGAGACACAGTGTGTGTGTGATCAAGAGACACAAGAGTGTGTGATCAAGAGACACAGAGTGTGTGATCAAGAGACACAGAGTGTGATCAAGAGACACAGTGTGTGATCAAGAGACACAGAGTGTGATCAAGAGACACAGTGTGTGATCAAGAGACATAGTGAGTGTGATCAAGAGACACAGTGTGTGATCAAGAGACACAGAGTGTGTGATCAAGAGACACAGAGTGTGTGTGATCAAGAGACACAGAGTGTGTGATCAAGAGACACAGAGTGTGTGACCAAGAGACACAGTGTGTGTGACCAAGAGACACAGAGTGTGTGATCAAGAGACACAGAGTGTGTGATCAAGAGACACAGTGTGTGTGACCAAGAGACACAGAGTGTGTGACCAAGAGACACAGAGTGTGTGACCAAGAGACACAGAGTGTGTGATGAAGAGACACAGAGTGTGTGACCAAGAGACACAGAGTGTGTGACCAAGAGACACAGAGTGTGTGATCAAGAGACACAGAGTGTGTGTGATCAAGAGACACAGAGTGCGTGACCAAGAGACACAGTGTGTGTGATCAAGAGACACAGTGTGTGTGTGATCAAGAGACACAGTGTGTGTGACCAAGAGACACAGAGTGTGTGACGAAGAGACACAGAGTGTGTGACCAAGAGACACAGTGTGTGTGATCAAGAGACACAGAGTGTGTGTGACCAAGAGACACAGAGTGTGTGATCAAGAGACACAGTGTGTGTGATCAAGAGACACAGTGTGTGTGATCAAGAGACACAGAGTGTGTGTGATCAAGAGACACAGAGTGTGTGATCAAGAGACACAGAGTGTGTGTGATCAAGAGACACAGAGTGTGTGATCAAGAGACACAGAGTGTGTGATCAAGAGACACAGAGTGTGTGATCAAGAGACACAGAGTGTGTGATCAAGAGACACAGAGTGTGTGTACTACATCCACCGCAAGCGATCGTCGTATTACAGTCCGTACAACATATTCCGCACTTCCCACGATCCCCGCGTGGCCCTCCATGTGGCCCCCCCCAGCGCCGCCGAATGCTCCGCACCTGCGCTGGTTGTCGGTGAGCGTGATGCCCTGTGCCGACACCTTGAAGTGCACGGTCGTTGCCACGGGCCGTGGCTTCATGTCCAGGATCTCAGCGGTCGCCTTGCCAATCGCCTGAGGCCCCGTGAGCGACTCCATCTCCACGGAGCCCAGGAAGAGCACGTTACAGGCTGCAGGAAGGAGGGCGGTCACCACACAGGTGTATCACTGGTATGTCACGGCTGAGATGGACGATGTGGCAGCTAGCACGAATGAGCTTTGTGCTTTAAAGGGCCATTGCTCGAATCGTCGCCTGTTATATTAAAACTAAAACTAGTAACTTTTGATTGTTTTACCAGGTAAAGCCCACTGAGCTACGTAGCTCTTTTTCAGAAGCGACCTGACCACAAATGACAGCTCGATGAAGTGGCTTGTCACGTGGAAATTTATAGCAGCCAAATACTATAAATGCACGTTTCTAAATGTGGAGGGAAAAAGCAGAGAACTCGGAGAAAAATCCAAGCGACCACGGGGAGAGAGAAGTGCAAACTCTAAATATGCGGGTGTCAGGATCGGGATCAAACCCATGAACTCCTGCATACCAGACGAGGAAGTTAACATCTTGCCACCGCTCATGCGCCATGATGGCCTTAAGAGTTGCTCGATAATAGCACTTGCCCCAACGGTTTGTTAAAGGCTATATGGGTTATCTTTGTCTTCGTCTTTGGAGGTGTGATGAGGTGGGTGTGCTGTACCTGCACCCTGCTTGAGGAGTTCTGAGGCAGAATTCACTGAAGAGGTGTCCAGAGGATCTATACACAGACGGCACATAGTATGCATCCTGTTAAACCATGCTGAGTTTGCCATTACACCAACGCTAATATGGAAATGGGACGTAATCCAGCTCCAAATCGTGGAAAAATATCTTATGTGCCCTGTTAGCCAAGTATGAACATATAAAGAGCTCTCAGTTTGTCTTGTTATTTTTCCCATTCCAACAAGATATGGCACTCTAACTCTTCCTTCAAATGAGCATAATTTAAGATGTGTACATGCCAAATTAAAGCAAAGAATGCAAGACGTAAAAACACGATAACGTTAAGAGGGAGAGGAGGTGATGTGGTGCCGGGTGGGCTGACGAGGAGGAATATTTGGAGATAGGGCTGTGGGGGCTGAGGGAGGACACAGAAGGAGGAGGTTTGGAAATGAGAGGCTGTTACCGTGCTCTGGGACGAGCAGCTTGCACGGGAGGGCGAGGGGCGTGATTGAGTGCTGATAGACGAGGGCAGACAGGCTACCTGCATTCACGCACAGAGTCACACAGACGACACGCGTGTTTACATGCAACCGCACAAACATCGATGCATAACGGGGGAGAGGGGCGGGCGGTCGCTGCTTGTTGCAGAGGGCCACAGTTCGCATGTACCTATAACATCTTTCGCACCGTCCGTAGCCAACCATGCTAATCGGAGGTGCGGTAAACATTGATAAAGTATCGATGCTTACTATGTAATAATATGCACTCAAGGTTTGGCAATGCCAACACCAGAAGCGGTGGCCTGTGCAGAATATTGGGAAAAGACTATTATATAGACTATTATATAGGTTAAATAGACTATTATACATGTTTATATAGACTATTACATAGGTTATATAGACTATTATACATGTGTATATAGACTATTATATAGGTTGGACAGGAGACACGACGGCAAAGAAGAGGTAATAACACATTACACAACCTCTTTAATGGAGAAAGTTGCAGTGCATCACACATGTGAAATGTCACGTGGGATGCACTGCATTACAGTTGGAATCCAGCGGCCGCCCTGGTTGGGACTGCGAGTGTATTAACTGTCAAAATACGTGCCTTCTGCTTTCACGGAGTGAAGTTAAGGATCCCATGATGTCATTTGCAAGAGTTGGCCATTGTGTGCTGGTGTCATGGTCCAAATTTGCCAATTGTTATTTTTTTAAGTACCTGCATATTACTCAATTGGGATTATACACATCAATCATGGCAGGGCCCTCACAAAAAAAGAATCATGAAACTCAGTTATGCTTTCCTGGGTAAACAAGATTAATAGGACCTTTCAAATGCCCAGTCACTGCCCCACCACCATCTATGCATACATTTGCATTGCAGGTCTCTTGTGCACAACGTGTATTGACTTGATTTTTACATGAAACAAGAAGGTTCACACACATAGGCATACCATCGTAGGAATGCATTGTAATTAGTGTTGTAAAACCCCTGACACTTGTTCCTTTCCTAGAATAGCAATTGCCTGATTTATAACGGACAGTTCATCCTGATGATTTCTTACCAATCAGCGATCATATATGTTTATCGATTAAACATTTAAAGAGCTCTTCAATCATTACTGTCAACCTTTCCATTATTATCTCGCAATCAATAACAAATGATTTTGAAACAGAATTCGGTAATCCTCATGAGGCCATGTGATTTTCAGCTTTCGTACTATTTAGGCACAGTAATCTTGGTGATGAATTCCAAATAACCAAGGCCCTTATCATCATTATCATCACATCAACACCACCACAATTACACCATCACTGTCACCACAGCTTATCACACACACTCACCAAACACCGGCTCGTTGGAGCAGCCCTTAAGCCGCACACCCTTGGGGGTCGACTCGATGAGAAAGTGGCGGACCAACTCCGACGCAGGGTCACCTGGGGGTGAAGGGGTCAGAGACGGGTTACCGGGGATGGCACCAACAGGCACGGTGCCATGTGGGCTGGCATGGAAATTCTTCATTTCTCTTTGTGTGTGGGGGTACGTGCGTGCGCGTGCATGCGTGTGTGTGTGTGTGTACGCCATGCCTTTCTTGCTGTCCAGCGAGGGGCCTGGTGGGGTGGCCACCTTCAAAGCGAGCCCGTAGGCCCCACGGAAGGAACTGCTGTCACGGATGACGAATGCTCCTGGGTCCCGACCCTTCAGCATGGTGATCGCTGTGAGATAAGGAGACAGAAACACAGACCCACGCACGCACATACAAACATTCCCATACATTTCCAGAAGCTGTATGGGAGCAGCCATGATTGAGCAAAAGGCAAAGATTGTCCACGAATGCAGACATTGCAGTAACTGCCACAATGCTTACATTTGAGTGTAAATTGGTTACATTAAAGGTACATATAGAAATGCAAACAGCACATCATTTAAATCTATGGTGTCTGTATGTGCAGACACAACAGACGCATCAAATATGTGTATGTCCATACATACAAAGATCACTCGTATAGCCTCAACAGACTGCTGGGGCAAGTGCTGTTAGCGAGCACCTATTAAGGCCAACACATGAGGAGGTGGGTGGTTAGAACCGTGCCCGGCTGCCTTTGTCTCCCGAGTGGTGATGTTTACACACCGCACCAGGTACCCATTTGAGGCTGAGTCGACCTAGGGGAGGCCCAGGACCGCTTCAGATATTCGTCACTGGTGTTGGCCGTGAGCGGGAATCGAAGTCGGGTCACTGGGTTTGTAACGCAGCACGCTAACCACTACACAACCGCTCCCCACACATACATACAAACAAGACACATTCAGGAATAGATATACACATATACGCAACTTAGCTTACAGACTCATAAAAATACTCATTAGCTCATTGCGTAAATCCGGACAATGGAAAATGTCACACACGCTTTTGTAACAACATGCTATAAAAGGCTGCAGTCTCAATTTACAACGGCCCGCTGGAGCCTCTTCACTGATTAAAATCGCCCCCTGGTGTGAGGTCATCTTTGTATGTGTGTTTGTGTCTGTATATGTATATGCAGTTAGGAGTGAGTTTCAGACAATCCACAATTATGTGTAAAAAGCAGTACTGCCTTTGTGGATATGTTAAAACCATCAGCATTTCCTGACGAAGTGCATTGTGGTCTTATTGTCTTCAGTCACCATTAAAATACATTTGAGCAAATGTGACCAACTGACAGCAGCAGTGATACAGTCATAGACAACTGTGGACTTGTTTCGTACTAATTAGGAATCATCAGCATACTATGGTCACCAATGCTCACGACTGCGAAAGTGTGCCTCTGGAAACCATACACGTGGAGTCCCCCCGCTTCCGTTAAGTGAGCTTGGCTAATGCCAACAATAACCAATTACAGATTTGTTTGATCGGAGCAACAATTTCAGGACGGTGGGATAAGAGATTATCTTACCCTGATCTCTGGAGATGTCGGGCTTGTACCAGTACTTGGATGTGTCTTGCACAAAGTTCACAGGTGACTCCAAAGTCCCATCTTGGCTGACTGGGGAACCTAGTGAGTACACACATACAGAGACAAAGATCCCCCATATAGCCTTTAACAGACTGTTGGGGTAGGCGCTGTTAGCGAGCAACTATTAAGAAGCCCAGCACAGCACATGAGGGGACGGTCGGCCTGCACCACATCCTGGCTGACTCTGTCTCCCCAATGCTGATTTTTACACACTGCACCAGATGCTAATTTAGAGCTGAGTCGACCTAGGGGAGGCCCAGGACTGCTTCAGATAATCGTCACTGGTGTTAGCCATGAGCGGGAATCGAACTCGGCTCGCCGGGTTCGTAGCACAGCGCGTTAATTGCTACACTACCGTTCCCCATTAACACACACACACACTCAAGCCAACACTAACACACACACACAAAGGTCCCACTATAAGTGTACATAGACTATTAGGACAAATTATGTTACCAAACAGCTATTAATAATGGTCACAAAGGCTAAATATATTGAGGCCATGGAGCAACCTTGAGAAAAGCGCAAGTTACATTGCTGGACCACCGGACCTTATTGACTTAAGAACGTATTTGGTCATCAATAACAACAACTGACCATGCAGCGGGGGCCAGTGCCATAGCAAGATATCTCTTTTTTTTTCTCACACGGGGAAGAGGCCTTAAGCCAGATTGAGACAGAAGCTACCACTGGTGTGTGAATGGCAGGAAATATAAGTCTGGTTCAGCGTGCGGACTCCCACGTGAACACGCACACACATTGCGCACTTTATATTCGACTACAGACGGCCGATACTGGATTTGGTGAGGATAATTATGCTGAGGATGCTAGAACTTTGGTGATGAAGATGCTAGGTACACGGCTGATGATAAGGATGGTGCCAATGTTACTAATAAATATAACTGGTCGTGCAATATTGAGCTATGGCACTAACAAAAAAATAAACCTGTTGAGAGCAATGTCGTCAAGCTCCGCGTCCTCTACTGCAGGGCAATGTGAAGAGTGTGAGCTCATGTGCTGTGTGTGTGCCGTGTGAGCGCGAACATATGTGCCGCGTGAGCACGTATACAATGTGGAGTGTGAGCGTGTGTTTGTGCCGAGTGAGCGCGAGCGCGTGTGCGTGTTAGCGCGCTAGCCGTGCGATTCCCACCGTGTGGGGGGCTCCGATCGGGAAGCGAGTGCGGGAAGGCAGCGGCGCTGTGCGTGCTCGAACCCCCGGGGCTCGAGAGGCCGCTGGACAGCGGCGACGTCGACAACTTCCCGTTCACGTTGCCGGGCGATAGCCGCATCGCACTCCGACCGCCGCTGCCGCTGCCGCCGCGTCCCTCTGGGGAACCTCCCTCGTCCCAACCGGGGAAGCCGCGCGGTGGGGACGTCTCCCCGGGCCGCCCCTCATCGTTGGAGCCTCGGGGCAACCTGGTTTGGGTTGCGTGAGCCGCGGCCGCCGCGCCCAACATCCCGAACGGCTGCTGCTCGCCCGATGGGCTGTACGAGGTGGTGGAAAAGGTGCTGTAGTTGAGGCTGTAGGTGCTGGCCGGCGGCGTCGTTGCAGCTTCGTAGGTCAGACTCTGCGACGCGCACGGCGTCGCCGCGCCGTAGCTCAGCGCGCTGTTCACCGACGAGCGTCCGCTGCCACCGCTCTCCCGGCCCGAAAGCGGAGCGTGCTGCCGCCGGTAGTCGTCGTGCGGCGTGGACGTGTGGACGCCACGAGCCACCAGCCTGGGGCTTGGCGGCACAGGGCCCAGAGCTCTGACGCTGTCACCAAACCCGGGAGTCTCACCCGTGCTCTGGTGCGACAGCGCCGGGCTCTCCGACCCTGGGAGTCTCCGCAGGATGCCTGGATTAGCTGAGGCCGCCTGAACTCCGTACATATTCGAGGACCCAGGCCCTTGGCCTCCGTAGCTGAGCGATGAGCCACCGTGGCCTCCATCATCACTTTTCCGGCCATAGTGGGCCACGCCAGAGATGACTGGGTGAGGGTGCAGCCTCATGGCATCCGTGCGCATCGCGTCTTCGTATGAAGCCTGACCTTCGACCGCCCGGCCGAGCTGCTTCTGAGCTGGAACAGCTCTGTCCTCCATGCCACTGAACGGGATGCTCTGCGGGGCTGCATGCTGAAAGTCCACTGGCGTGGCCGTCCTGATGCCAGCCGGCTGCAAGGACGCCACTCCCTGCTGTGCTCCATGATTGGGCCCGTAAGCGTACAGCTCGGGCTTTCCTTGTTTGCCGGCGGCCGGGTCTTCCGTACCGTTGTAACGTACTCCTGCCTGGTTACCCCTGTATGCACCGAAGCCGGCATCTAAGTACGGGGTGCCGCGTGGATCCGAAAAACCAGACGTCTCCTCCCATGGCGACGGCTGACGGGCCAGCGTCACCGTAGCGTCGCGGTGCCGGTCGTGCGGCGGTTGGCCGGCGTACGGTCCGTGCTGCCGCGCCTGCTCTGACCTGGCCCGCGAGTCCTGCACGCCCCCGTACCCGCTGTAGGCGCCCGCTTGCTGCGCGCCAGAGATGGCGAGGAGACCGATGGGGCCATCGGGATACTGAACATTCGTGCCGTTGTCACGAGGCGTGGCGCCGGCCGCGGGGCCTCGTCTCTGAGACGACCAGGAGGCGGCGGGGTCTGGGCGAGGCTCGCCGCAGGCGGCCGCGGCGTAGGGCTCGGCGTGCGAGGAGTGGTAAGGGGAGGTGCGCTGGCCCGCGTTGGCGGCGTCGGCCTCGGCGTTCCGAGCCACGGTCTCCACGTAGCTCCACGGCTCTGAAAGCGTGCGGCGAGGGCGGGAGGAACACGCGTTGATTTCACGCTCATGCTGCACACCCGATCATTCAGAAGGCCCACGTGACCATGCCACCGCACAATCAGCCGTGGACACTGCATGCACACCAGAAAGTTGATGCACGCCAACCACAAAGCCTGCCTCCTGCGTACTGCCCTGCCTTCTGTGTACTGTCCTGCCTCCTGTGTACTGTCCTGCCCCCTGTGTACTGTCCTGCCCCCTGTGTACTGCCCTGCATCCTGTGTACTGCCCTGCCCCCTGTGTACTGTCCTGCCCCCTGTGTACTGCCCTGCCCCCTGTGTACTGCCCTGCCTCCTGTGTACTGTCCTGCCCCCTGTGTACTGCCCTGCCCCCTGTGTACTGCCCTGCCCCCTGTGTACTGCCCTGCCTCCTGTGTACTGCCCTGCCTCCTGCGTGCCGACCCTGGCGACTGAGCTGCGAGGCTGCCAACTGGGTTCGTGGCGCCAGGGACACGGCGGTCTGCACTGCGCCGCCATTTAATGAAATAATACCGCTTTAATATTGTAAAGGAATGTGGTGTTTTCTTGTTTGGGTGAGCCAGGGGCAGGGTGGGGGTTTCTCCCCCCCTCTTTCCATCGAGGCCTAGGCGAGCCTGCCGATAATCTTAAGCTTTGCCACCGCACGCTCTTACCGCATTAGGAAAATTCCTCTCGTTTAAAATGTTCTCTTCAAATAACGACCCGCAAGGGACCCATTCAGCATCGCCGAAATGAGACGCGGGATGAACGGCAGCAGTACAATTACAGAAGCGTAAGATGACAATGATTTTGATGATGTTGTTAATTATTATGGGAATGAGAGCAGTAATGTTTTTTTTTTTACAACAGCTGTCAATATCATAATACCGATGGTGACAGTGAGGGTTACATGGGGTGATAGCGTTTAGAAAGGTTACATTGATAGCAACTTCACAGACGATAATGTTGATTGCATCAACATATAATCTGGCCAGGTGGTTCAGGGGTAGAATGCATCGCAATCGGAAGCTGAAAGTTCAAATCTTATTTGGAAGTTGCCTTAGCACCATCATCCCTTCAGGATTGATATGTGGAATATTCACCACTGGCTCAGGACTGCCCTAATGCTCATTTGAGCAGGAAATCACTGTGAATCATTGACTTGTGATCTCCATAAGAATGACAGTGGTTGTGATTGTTTGTGTTCGGTAAGCATGACAATGAATAATGGTAGTAGCTATAGAGGTGATGACGATGATGATGATGATGATGATAACGGTGGCAGTCGCGAATGGGTATGACCATCACGATGAGGTTTGGAGAATGAGTGACTAAGCGAGCGACTATGATGATCATGGCGGTGAGGTCCACTCACCGGGGAGGCTGGACCTGGGAATGGCGCTGTCAGGCACGTCTGTGGGATGAGCGCCGAAATGAAGCAGGCACGGAGGGTGGTGGGGGGATAAGGGGACAAGCAAGCAGACCGGGGATTGGGCCGCACGGAGGGACGGAGGCAGAGGGGCATGCAAGTTACAGCCATGGGATGCATTTGTAACACACCGCACCAACGACAAAAACCCCGTGCAGCACCGTAATAGCCCACGTGCGGTTATCACAACATCACCATGCATCGCTGCCGTTGCTGTTGCTTGGGATGCTTTGTTTGGACGTTACGGCCAGATCAACCATCACTCGGCTAAGGCAGCGGTGAGCAAGGCATATGCTCGGGCAAAGTGTGGTTTTATGGTATGATTAAGCGATTTAGAGTGTACGAATATTTAATTCACGTGTTCTGGATACACGACGTTTTATATTGTTTCAGAAAATAAATAACACACAGGTCGACCGATGGCCACTACCTGTGAAAGGCAAAACCTCAGGCGAGTGTGCGTGCGTTTTTTTCTTCCATTCAATACGCGAGAACGTTTTACAATGATCCCGCTTCTCTTTGGTGGGGTTTTTGTTTGTTCAACACATCCCGGCAGGCAGTGAAATGGTCTGCGCCTGTTTTTCTAGTTTGAATAAACAAATGCTTCAGGCATGACCACACGTGCCTTGCGTTCTTGGCCGTTAAGTTGTCCTTATTTGAAAACTATTTTTTTTATTTTACCAGGTAAGGCCCACTGAGTTGTATCGCTCTTTTACAGAAGGGTCCTGGCCAAAACACGATAGCTCAATGAAGTGGCTTATCATGTGGAAATTTCGAGCGCATATTGATGATAAATGTGGAGGGACAAACCAGAGGACCCGGAGAAATAGCCACGCGACCACGGGTAGAACATGCAAACACAAAATATACAGGTGCCAGGGTTCGGATCGAACCCACGACCTACTGTAAACCAGGCGAGGCAGTTAACATCTTGCCACAGCTTTGGTATTTTGTTTGTAACAGTGGCGGTGGTACATCCGCCACGATGGGTAGGACTGAAATTAATGTGGCCTCCGGCTGGGTTCACACGGAACTAGAATCAACCACAGTGGGCGACCTATCAATCGACTCTTCTCCAACTCCCAGCCTCTGCCACGCCCTTTCACTGCCCGTGGCAAATTGTTGAAACAGAAAAACGAGTAGTGTTCTCGATGGTGATTTCAACTGCTCTTGCTCTTTCTTCTACAACGCCAAGGTTCTCTTCCAAGGCCTGAAAACTCCCAAGTGCTTTGAGACATCTGTCACGACCGTGGGTAATAATAACAATGATGCACCGTTTAAAGTGCGCATCATGAGTTTATTCCTAGTGCACGTGGTCAATAAACTTTAAGCTATGCAGTGTCCATGATTGGTATGTACATTGAAATTATTTCGCGCCATACATAGCCAACCACGATAATCGATTGTGCATTGTGAGTGGGATGAGCTTTGTGAGGTGTGTTTTATGTGGAGTGGAAGGTGTGGAAGTATTGCGTTTAGCAAGCGCTGCAAGTGTGCTTGGTGTGCTTGGCGTGTCTAGGTGTTTTGTGGTTGTGCTGTATGGCTCTCCGCTGCAGCCTCTGCGTTGCGACGCTGGACATCGTGCCGAACAACACGCGGTAAAACCCGAAAACAAATCGGAGAGCTGTGTGTAGCTCAGTCAAATTGTCGAGACCACGGTGGCCTTACCCTGCGCCGATGAGACGTGGATCTCCATGGGCTTGTGGGGCTTGAGCTTGAGGGCAGAGAGCGGCGTCTCAGCCAGGCCAATCGGGGAACGCGCTGTAAGAAAGACAAAGATCCCCCATATAGCCTTAACAGACTGCTGGGGCAAGTGCTGTTCGCGAACACCTATGAAGGCCAACACGGCGCACGAGGGGGTGGGTGGCCAGCACCACACCCGGCCGCCTTTGCCTCCCCAGTGGCGATGATTACACACCGCACCAGGTACTCATTTGAGGCTGAGTCGACCTAGGGGATGCCCAGGACCGATTCAGATAATCGTCACCGTGTGTTGGCCGTAAGCGGGAATCGAACTCGCGCCGCCGGGTTCGTAGCGCAGCGTAGCGCTAACCGCTGCACCACCGCTCCCCTGTAACACAGGCGCACACGCGGCCACTTCTGTCACCCTCCGCACCCCAACGAACGTGCCAAGGCCAGGACACAAATTGCTCATGGGCATCGTCCACATGCCACGGTTGTTCATGTCTCTTACTCAGGACAGCTGCCAGAAATACCTGTTTGCATGGACTGAAATATATACATGTGTAGTCAGGCTATACTAACAAAGATCACGTCTCAATTCGGTGGGCTTAAATACTGCGTAAGGTGGCTTGTGGGGTAAACAGCTAGGTTTTCAGGGTGTACCATCAACTTGAATGTGCAGACAGGTAAGGAGAGACCCATACGCACAGGCGAGAGTCACTTTCCACACGTGTACAGTGTATCTGAATCAAAGGAGGTCTTGCGAATGTCCCATCTGAGTCCAGTGGCTCAGAGCGGAGACCCATAGGTAGGAAACCTTGGCCAAACGCAGGAGTATCTGTAGACAACGAACAAGGACTACAAGTCGCCGGGGGTCATACCTTCTGGTGAACGGGGAGGTGGACTGCCCGGGTCTTGGTCCATCTCCTCGAATGCCTCCTTGTAACTGTGCATGTGCCTCTGTTTGTTGTGTCAAACGCACAAGCACGCGCACGCGTGCACATAGAAGCACCAAAGTCAGTGCGGCTTCCCAGCTTGGCCGTCCACTGCATCGCGTGCGATGTGTGATTGGTTTATGTGGGCGCACCGCACTGAGCTGGCACGCCCACGGTTTGGTGCGGCGAAAGTGTACTATGATATCCCTGTGGTTGATGGACTCAGATGTCTCTCTATAGCTGGACTCACGGCGTATTGCTGGCAGACTTTGATGTTCCACTGGAGGTGGCTGGTGATATCCACCATTGGGTGAACTATACGACCCTAACGTTGTGCTGTTGTGACCCTAAAGTGGTGGATTATGGTGATCCTCGAGATTGTGAAACCACTTCAATAAAAGTGGACTGTGGAATCACTGTGACTGATCAGTGGTGTCCCTTATATTGGTGGACACTCTAAAATAATTACAATATTCCACCTCTGGAGGATGATTATGACCCCCTAAGAGGTGGATTGTTCTGTAGTCGTCCTCTGGAGGTGGACTATTGTAACCATCCAGAGGATGCGCAATGGAAACCTAAACAAGACAGTCTATGGCAACCCTGTAGAGTTCACCAATAGTGCTGCTCTAGAGGTGGACGCTGATACCCCCTCTATAGCTGTAATGCGGTCTCCCTCTCAAAGGTGGGCTTGCCACGATCCCGCTCTCCCTTCCTCACCTCTCGCGGACGGCCTCCAGGATTGGCGGCGATGATGTTGCGCACCTCTGGCGAGATGGCTCGGACTGGTGACCGCACGGTGGCCCGATAGGTGCTCTGTTCGCCGGCGCTGCCATTGAGGCCATCGGCACCTTGCTCGCCATCCTGGTTGTCATAGCGACCGTTGCTGAGGTTGCGTCTGTGCATAGGCCGGCCCCTTGCCTCCATGGTTGAGATGCCTGAACGCACCAAACGCGTGAACGTACACAAACAAAGATAAAGATCCCCCATATAGCATAAAAAAAACTATGAAGGCCGGCACGGTACACGAGGGGGTGGGTGGCCAGCACCACGCCCGACTGCCTTTGCCTCCCCAGTGGTGATGTTTTTAGACACCGCACCACGGTACTCATTTGAGGCTGAGTCGACCTAGGGGAGGCCCAGGACTGGTTCAGATAATCGTCACTGGTGTTGGCCGTGGGCGAGAATCCAACCTGGGTCACCAGGTTCGTAGCGCAGCGTAGCGCTAACCGCTACCCTACAGCAGGCACGGAGAAACACACGAACAAATAACGCCCTGATGAGGTGCTCTTACCCACATCACACCCGATCCCCTAAGGTTGGCGCTGACACACCAGACGCTAATTTTCAGCCGAGTTGACCAAAGTGGTGGGCTGTCATCCAAATATAACCAAGGTTCCCGAGATTTGTTGTGCCGTGCACTAACCACCGTCATATCACACCAAGGACACACACACACGGGTACGTGCCACTGCAATAGCACAACCAAGTCACGTATATAGCATCGGCACAAGTGAACCTAATAGCACAAGTGCCAAAGGCGACCTTGCTCTGATCTATATTCTCTGCCCCCGGCGAGGGGCGCAGTAAAGTTTTTTTTTTTTTAAATGGGCACCATGCACGAGCATGCTAGAGCGTGTCACACGTAAAGTGTGCGTGTGTCACTTATTCAAGACTCACGTACACGTGCATCCAAGGCACACGAACGTGCATTTCGACGCTTCGGTTGAGCCGTTCAATTCAGACAGCCAAAAGAGACACACGCTTTCCCTATACTCGCTGGAGGATGAGTACGGATGCACTTCAATGTGATGCATCAAATAGGCAAAAACATTTAGTCACCATAGACTCATTGTTGCTTTCAGGTAAGCGTTGCATGAAACGTGACATTTTTATAGACTTGGGAGTTTGTAACTTGAAGCTTCATTATTTGCATCACTAACGACCACAGTCTCGAACAGCAGCTGGCAAATCAATGTGCTCCGTGTTAATCAATGTGCCGTGTAACATGCACAACTGGGTTTAGTGAGAAAGCGGCGTAAAAAACTTCCACTTAACATCCCGCCCGCTGAGCACTATTGGTCAATTAAAATGCACGTTCTAGGTGGTCTCAAGATGCGCACGCAGAAGTGGTAGAAGCGGGAGGGCAGAGAAGGCTTTAATGCCACTCTCTTAATTGCACCACTTCCCCCACTGCGCGCATGAAATGGGGTGCGCGTGTGAGCTGGGTGTCAATGCCACCCTCGTTGTGCCCCCCCCCCCGCCGCACCCCCCAATTCTACGATCAGAGAAGCATCTCGCAGTTGTGGGGGAGAGAGGGAGGTAGTTGGTGTCGGTTGGGGGGGGGGTGCGATGGACACCCCCCCCCACCCCACTCACACCAAACACGGCTCGGTATCCTGTGAATTTTGGGAGGCTCGTAAAGAGGAGCCCGTTATTAGCATCGCTCGTGTCTCCCGCTGTTGCACGGCACTGCTGCCTGCGTGTCCGAATCCTCTCCCGCCGACCTTCCCTTCTCTCTGGCCAAGCACACAGGCAGCGTTTGTCGTGCAGGGAATGCCGGCAGTAGCCCCAATGTTGGACTCTTCAACAGCCCATGTGTGGAACGAAATCTGTTCATTCACTCGCCGTCTCGCTCGCTCCTCAGCCGCCCGCACCTTCACTCGGTGATTCATTCACTCGGTCAAGGACTTTACACACCCAATTACTCGTTCAAATGTAGACTCACTCCTTGACTAATTAACTCTCTGGTAGAGTTATTCAAGTACTCACAGATTTACTTCCCAGTACTCAGTAATTGACTTACTTGATGGCTTAATTATGTCCTTCCCTATAAACACGTGGCAGTTTGGTTCAAGTGAGGCTGACATAGTTTGCTTGTGTTGAACCAATACTGCTGAATTTATGCACTCACCAAAAGGCTGTGTGGCTGATGAAATGTATTGTTTATTTTGTTACTTAATCATGGACTTACTCACTGGTTCATTGACTTCATTGTAAACTTTATATCCGTTCACTTCCTCAATTGCACGCTTGAACCATGTACTCGTTCAATTGCAGAGCTGTGCACTCGCTCGTTCACCCACGCAACCGAGAGCTCACAAAGTAGTGCTTTTACTCACGAACGCACCACGTCATTATACTTTTTTTCTTCCTGGGGCATCCGCCCGCTCTCACGCTCTCACACTTTAATTGGAGTGAGTTGTTTTCTTCAATTGGCTTGATTCGTTGTTCGCCAGTGCCTGCCAGCCTGTAAATATGGCCGGCTGGCCAAATGCTGTAAATTCAATTGAAATAAACGATTGAGTTAACTCCTTTAGCATACTCTTTGGTTCTTTCGGCAAAGTCACGTAGATAGAAAATTAATAGATCACGACGTTTCGATCGCAACACAAGCGACCGTCTTCAGGTGAAACAAACACAGCACGTCTTGATCTATTAATTTTCTACCTCCGTGACTTTACCAAAGAGCATGGATTCCTGCAGTCACGAAAACTTCCAATCCTTTAGCATACTTGTAACACGCAAAGGCATGAAACGTTAGTCGTCTTCTCCTACGAACACTTGTTTTCTCCTAATATACATAGTTAATGAAGCAGGGTGGTGAGTTATTGTTTTCATCATTATTATATTACGTGCCTTTGCCTCCCACTGGCTGGCTGACTAACTCTGCATGCTGCTTTTGGAGATATATTTTGCATCCTCCACCGCACTTACTGGGTAATCACGGTTTTGTGCGTGCACACGCTCATTAACTCCCATTGAACCCTCCAAGGCTCCAATGCACGACACCGACACGTTATCGCGAACAGTTTAATACAATTAGCATGCACGGCCAGCCACATCCATGCTCTACGATGCCTTCAGTAGCTTTTTTGGCAATATTTCCCTGTAAAATATATAATATAATAATTATTCCCAGTGATCCAATGCTGGTGTCAGCCACAGCGGAAAATATTACAGTCAGTCTTTACACCCCCCCCCCCCCCACTGCTTGGCATAAACACTACGGCACAAAAGGCCCTTTCTGCCCCACTGAAAACAAAACCGTCTGCCCTTATTGCGAGTAGCAGCGGACAACACAGCGACACATGCGAAATGGGCCGAGTAGCTGCTCAGAGTGTGGCTTATCTGCTAAATATCTCATGAGCTGAGCTGGCCTACCCTGGACACCCTCCTAATTGAGATGTTCCATATCAAGAGCTTATCCAGGTAAGATACTTTAAAAAAACTATACTTTCCATGACATTAAACCTTTGCATTACGGGTGTCGGTACGAGTCACAGACAAGGCGCGTGACGCCATCCCAGCGTCCAAGCTGGCACGCGAGACCCATGGTCCCAGAGCAAAAGGATACGCTCCTGGTTGTTAAGGAGGCTTGCTGAACCATTGGGGGGGGGGGGGGGGGGGGGAGTTGATCGACTACCATTAGCGGTGGAGTCATCCGAGGGTATGCCCTCTTTGATGGACGCTGACGGGGATTGTTTAAGGGGCTGTGACCTATGGACCGTGGGCCCATGCTAGCCCCAGGAGTCAGGGCTTCAGCGGAGCCTAGTGGGTTCAACAGGCATCAAGGGAGTGAGGGCTGACAGGTGCGTCAGTCAAAGTTGGTTGTGTTGCAGAGACCGGATTGTCCACCCATTTTGTTCCTGCCAATGACCAAATGACCAGGAATGTGACTGATCTTGTCAGATCTGGGAAGCTAAGCAGGTATGGCCCTGGATAGTGATTGCAAGGGTGACCACCATAGCCGAGACTTTGTAATCGGTTCAAGGGGGACACGTGGTGGGCAGCAGAGGGAAGTGTAGCAACGTCCATTGTTGCACTGTACTTCTATGTTGCCATGCTACCTGCAGGGTGTGGGGAGGCCCGCACCCAGCATTGGATTGGCAACGGACTGTACCTGTACACATGGACATGACGGACGCACGAGTGATGGACGTCGATAGCTTCAACGTTTGTGGTTACTTTTTACCCCTGAGCACAGGTCATTGCGATTAGCAGGGGTCAGTGGCGTTCAGGTGTGGCGTGAGTGGGCAGTGGATGACGGGAGGGGTTGCGGATGGAGTCACACGCTAGGTTCAACCGCTCAGCGGGCCTAAGGTCGCGAGGCCAGGCCCGGTACAGTCTCTTTCGCGGGGACGTCGCGATGACTTCACCAAGGAATTTCCGTTGGTTACTAAACAACAAGCGAAACAATTGACGGCTTGACCCCCGGGCCTCCTCAATGGAGCCAGTGTTCATCGTAGCTGTGCGCTGTCAACTGTGCCCGCACTGTGTAGAGAGCTCGCGTGCGAGTTGTGCAGAAGGAAGTTTCCTTGTGGCGCGTCAGGATGGCTCTGAAGGTTGTTTCACAAGAAGGTTTTCGACATCACATACCAAAAGGTGTCTAGTACACGGCTATCATCACAAGGCTCAAATCCCAATTTGCATGTGACTCAGCACCGTCACCATCATCATCCCTGAGGTCACTCAAATGAGTACCCACTTGGGAGGACGTATATCTTGGTGAGAATTCAACAGGAGTTGTCTTCAGGCGGGACAAGTCCTCTCTACAGTAACATGGTTTCCTATCACACTTTGGACTGCCCATGGAGATGAGTGGCTGTCATTACTCATCATGGCACGAGGACTCCTAGAATGTTGATGCTGTGGAAGTAGGAACAATCCTCATGGACACCGAAGTTAAAACTAGTGCGCTGCAATCTCAGCATCGGCTAATTTTGAATAACCACGCTCGTGCTCTCTAATACGCGAGGGACAATGATTAACCCAAGCCAGGCTCATACACAGCCTTCTGGCCTTGGAGCCAGAAAGCCTTGGTCCTGATTGAGGATTCCGCTGGCCTGGAAATGAGTAGATGACCCGGCCTTAACAAGACGTCCAGAACATTAATAACGTTGCATTTTGAATTGCCACACATCTGGTAAAAACACAT